TCTGACAAAGGACATGTTTCTAGAGTATATAAAGAATGTCTTTAATTCAATAATAATGCAGCTCAATTAAAATGGGCAAAATATTTGAATAGATACTTCACAAAAGAATACATCTGAATGACCAATAAATAGGTGAAAAGGTATATTCAGCACTTGTTGTCATCAAGAAAACACAAATTAAATTAAAACTACATTGAGATAACACTTCACATAAATTAGATGGCTCAAGTTAAAAAGGCATAGCACCATATCTGTGAGAACATGGAGTAATGGGAGCTGCCATATATTGCTAATGGAAGAGTAAAATGATATAACCAGTGTCTAAAGTGTAAAGTGTTACAACCACTTCAGTGTATACCTTTCCCAAACTTAAAATTGTGTACTTAAGATCCGTGAGTTTCACTGTGTATGTACATTTTACAACCAAAAAGAAAATAGAAAGGATGAGTTTTAATCTGTGAAATGCGTTGATCATCATTGTACCCTACAATAGTCCTCTCCTTTCCTCCTCTCTCTTCTCCTTCCTACCCAACTTCTCCACCTTCCCTCAAGTTACTTTTTTATTTGTTTTGGAATCCAGCTGTGTCAGATATTGTTTTGGGGGACAGCAATTAATTTGGCAGTTAATACACAGATGAACAGAACAAATTTAGTTCCTACCCTGTGGGAATGAGTCCAGAATGGGAGTCAGTCATGCCAGTAACCTAACAGCAGCCGTGTGGTAAGTGCTGTAAGGGTGAGAGAGCACAGAGCGGCTATCCACCCTAGGAAAGTCAGGATATGCTGCTGCCTGGAAGGAATCACCAATGCCTTGTAAAAGCTTAGATGAGTAGAATTGATCCTTAGATTTGTGGGAAGGGCTCTCTGGGAAAACAGAACAGCATGTGCAAAGTTTCACTAGTGGACAACCTGTGATCAAAAGTGCTAGAAGGTGGCTGGAGGGCGAGGAGGTGAAGTGGGGCAAGTCAGTAAAGGCTGTATCATGAAGGGCCTCTACCTACCAGGTAGCTGAACTGAGCTCTGCTTCCTGTGTAAAGAATTTGGACTTTATCCTGAAAAGAAAGGGAACTGTTGAAGCCTTCTATCATCGTCTTCCCAGTTAGATTCTAAATTCAGGGAAATCAGGGTCTGTTATTCATCTTTGTACTCTTTATAATGTCTGGCCATGGTCCTGGAATGGGTAGGACAGCGAGGAGGTGCTGACTGATCACTAAAGCCGTGATAGTCTCTTAGAGTCTTGCATGTGTGGTTCAGCCGTATTACAAAAATGAGTCAGAACAGAGATACTTTTGGAATGAAGGGGTGGGGGTCCACTACATTCTGGGCTTTGTGCCTAGGCACTCCCAGGTATAATCTGATTTAATCTATGTCATTCTCCTTGCTTAGATCTGCCAGTGACCTCTGGCTGCTGGTAGGAGAAAAACCAAAGTTCATAGTGTCCTTCAAGGTTGCTGTTCACTGTGTGTAGTGCTTTTTTCCTACTTAATTCTGTTTATTCTCTCAGCTCTCACTTGCTGGGATGGCCTTCATTGTCCCACAACAAGTGGGCTCTCAGAGCTCAGCTTCCTGTGTGGTCATCCTCAGTTCATGTGATTATTTGATTTCTTTTCTGCCCTCTCAAGAATATGAGCTCTGTGATACGTTTTTATCCCTTGCACTTAGCACAATGCCTGGCGTTTAGTAGACACTTAAAAAAATTTTTTTAGTTGCACAAATGGATCCTTGAGAATGCTTTATCATATATATATATTACTACTCCCATTTTTAGGTGAAGAAAGTCAGTTATCTAAGATTGTATAACCCATAAGGGTCAGACTAGAACTCAGGGGTGTCTGACAACAAAATCCTCTCTCTGCCAACGGACACTGAGTCAACAGTGAGTGCAGCACTTGGATGCATTTTCAGAGTCACACCAGTGTCATGATTTTACCTTGATGAATGATCAACAGAATGGATAATCTGCTGGCTAAGGATGTGGGTTCTGTAACCAGACAGTAGACTCAGGTTCCTCCTCCACCATTTATTTATTAGCTCTGTTACCTTGAGCAAGTTATTTAATCTCTCTGTAATTCAGTTTCCTGGAAAGTGGGGTAACATTACTCATTTTATAGGATTGCTGTGAAGATAAACTAAATCAATTCATATAAAACACTAGTAGCACACAGAAAATACTCAATAATTTTTAGCTGTTACTATTTTCTGTATCTATTTTTTCTTTCCTTTCTTCTTACTGTACTCCCAAACTGTATACAGAGACCCAATGACAATTTAAATTCTTTTTTATTTCATGGAAATTCTCTTCTTACGTGAAGCCATCTGCCTCTAAGTCTTAGTTCAATTGTGTTTTCTCAATTCAAAATTGAGAAATTTTGTGTCTCAGCAGAAGCAGAAGTTTTCTACCTCTTAACAGCAAAGTTTGGTAATATTAATACTCTTTGCTGTGAATTTCTAGATTTTAGGATTCACAGTTTTCCTCACACCTCTGCTCAGTTAATAAAAACACAGTGCTACTATAGTATAGTAAAGGATGCTATGTTAATAGTACAGTAGTACTGCTCTCCCTTATAAATCACAAACCTTTTCCCCAAACTAAGCACCATATTATCAAGCTGTTACGATAACTGATCTGACCCCCTCAAAAAACCCTAATTGTTGGGAAGTGATTTATGTCACCATTATTTTCCCCATTCATCAATAGGTGAAAGCAGGTGTGACTTACAGGAAATTAAAACAGGAAGACAGGAAGAAAAATAATTACTTCACATATATATACTTGCATGCCAAAATTTTGACATTTTTAGCATGTCCCCTCATAATGTAGTTTTCTGTCAACATCTTTTGTTTCTTTGGTTCATTGTTGAAATTGAAATTCGTAACTTGTTTCTTGTGGTTAGGATGTCATAGTGTGTGGGTGTGTGTTTTATTGACTTAACCTTGCTCTTAAAAGAAAATGGCACTTGATTTTTGTTTAAATGACAAGAGAAATAACAATAGTATAGTTTACCCCCCTCCCCCAACCACCCTCCCATACCAAGCATTACTACATACTTAGTTGATACTGCTAATCTTCACAACTGCCTTGCAAGAGAAATGATGTCCTATCCTAGAGAGAAGGAAGTAGAGGCCTTACGAGATTAAGAATTTCCCTGAGAAGCTAGCACGAATCAGTCCCTGAGTGGCTCAGCCCTGGAGGTTTGGCATAAGAGGACAGTCAGAAGCAAGTCTTGCAAAGGAAGTTGGGGTTATAAATGGAAGACCTCAAAAGCAGGCTGAGGAATGTATAATTAATTTTGTAGGCAATGTAGAATTAATAAAGTTTTTTGAACTGGGAGCTGAAAATGGCACAAGTGCTCTATTTTTAGCACTGTGATTTTAAAGTGTGGTCCCTGGACCAGCAGCTTTGGCAACACTTGGAAACTTAGAAACCAAACCCATGTGCTTCCTCTTGTGAGCTCAGTGGGAAGTGCTGGGTTGCCCTGTGATTGCAGGAGCCCTCCAGGTGATTCCAGCGCCCATCCAGGTCTGAGAACCACTGCCTCAACTAATTATGGCTGAGCTGCAGGAAGGATTGGAAGGGTAAGAAGAGCAATGGGAGGCGATTGCTGGAAGCCAAGTGGGAGGTTATTAGTGCATAAGTTCAGGTGGTTTCATTGAGAATGAGACAAAGGGAAAATCATGAGACTTTTCAAGAAAAAAAACAAATGGACTTGACTAAATGGAGGTAGGAGTGTAAGATGTAAAGCCAGTGTCCATAAGTGGGAGAATTGCAAATACACAGCAAAGTCCTTCAGAGAGGAAGCTTGTTTATACTCTTTAGGGATCTAAACCTTACTGTGCCTTAATTTATAGCATCTTTATATATGTCTTACTCACACCCACCAATCCTCCACCCTCAACTGGATGATTTTACCTATAGAAATAAAAATGTATCAGACATTCAAACCAATAATAATACCAACCTAGTTATTAAATGCCAAAAACTTTTCTCTAAACACTTTATATTCATTAATCCCATTGTTGTTATTCACTATTATGGATGTTTATAAATTGCCTTCCCTTTATGTTCAATCTAAGCTTCACACCACCGTAAACTTAGTGATTCCAGACACTGATCTGAGAGGCTGAGTCTGGGTTCTGGAGGCAGACGGCTCTGGGCTAAAAACCCAGCCCCACGATTTACCAGGCGTGTGGTCTTGAGCAAGTCACTTACCCAATATCCCACCCAAATTTACCCCAGTTGTATTGCAACAGGGGTTATTATTACAGCGAGGATGTAATAATGAGAGGGACTCAGGCTTGTTGTGGGAACCAGATGAGAACATGGCTGCATGATTCTTGGCACATAAACCTCTGTTAGTGAAGTTTATGGCTGTGAGGATGCCACTCCTTTACTCAGAACCTTCTCTGCTCTCCTTGGTCAAGAGAATTCATTCATTAGTTTAACATTAAAGACTTCCCACAAACAGGTCACTTGCTACCTCTCAAACCTTTTACATGCTGATTGCATAATCCCAGTGCTTCAGTGAGCTAGTCTGTGTCCCCCAAACATGCCAGCCTTTGGTTCTTTCCTCCACAACTTTCATGTTGTCCAAGTCCTTTGCTGCCCACTGTGACATCCAGTGTTGTTGGAGCCATTCCCAGCAAATCCCGCCTGTAATGTGAGTAATCCCTCCAAACTCTGGAGCTCCGGTGCCTTTGCAGCTCGGGGAGCAGAGCCAGGGGCTCAGGGTGCTTCTGCCCGTGCTCAGCCCACTCTCCCACACCTATGAGCAAGTGTGAGGGTCGGCTGCACTCTTACTGTGCTTGATGCCTCGCCTCACGACAGGGAAGTGCTCTCTTAATGGTGGTAACATCCACCCTAACTTCATTTCTTGGTCTTTTCCAAGTTCTTTTTAATATATGTTACTGGGTTTTTTTTTCTCTTCCTGCGGATGCTGATAACTTCCCTTGTAGGAATAACATTTCATCTATGAAATACTAATCAGTATTTTTCTTCTCAGGATGAACTTGACCTCACAGACAAACACAGGGAAGCCATGTTTGCACTTCCAGCTGAGAAAAAATGGCAAATATACTGTAGCAAGAAAAAGGTAAGATATTCATTGTGTTTATGGGTAACTGGAAAATTATCATTTTTTATTCCCTTTGCTCTCGCATTTCACCATCAGAATTACTACAGCTTTTTATAACCTGTAAACTAGATTGAATGTGTGCTGTTGTTGCCTTGGTGCTGCAGGTGGCAATGTGCTGACTCCTTGAAATATTTTTATCCACATTTCCTTGGATTCTTCCCCCACCCCCACTCCCATCCCTGTAATTATTATTCATAACCCCATGCAAGTGAGACAAAAAAATAACAGTGGTTTACTCAAAGATCAAAGTTGTCTTCCTACTCTTTACATAAAACTCTGTGTATAGGTAGGTTAAGACTAGTATTATGGGGACAGCACCTTGTAACAACCTTCCATTTCACCATCTCCAAGGTACAGCCTTGTCCTCATGGTCCAAGGTGGCTCTCTAACCATTTCATATCCAAACTGTGCAGGGAGGAAAGGGACAGAAGGCACAAACCTCCCCACCTCCGCTCTTTGGGACATGTCCGGGAGTTACACACCTAAATCCTCCTCACGTTCCACTGTTAGCCACATGGCCACACCTCACTGCAAGGAGCATGGTCTATTCTGGATGGTCACTCCACTTAAAATCTGGGGTTCTCTTACTGTTGGAGAAGGGGAGGATAGATATTGGGCAGTGAAAACACCAGAGCCCTATTTCCTAGCATCTACAGCACCAGGCATCACCCATGGGCTGTGTCTCCACAATACAGCTCACCCTGCCATCTTTAAGCCCTGTGCAAAGTCTAGACTGTTCCTATACCACTTTGGAACCAATCCATCTTGATTGTTGATGGCCATCTTTTGCAGCTTTTCCTTCTGTTCCAATAAGACTTGCCTGCAGATGGGGTAAGCGGGCAGGCCCAGGCCAGCACCTGAAAGAATGCTACCTCTCTCCAGCAGGTGGCAGGCACTGTGATTACTCACTCTTGCCCCAGGGAAGCAGGAATAAACTACAGCAAGGCAGTATCTCTTCAGGCTGTGAGTTGTCTTTTCTTACGTGACTAGTATGCGTTTGGGGATCTGCATTTGCCCACATGGCTGTCTTGGGGCACCTCTGCCCCCTCTTAGCTGCCTTTTGTAATCAGTTTGCCCCCCTGCCAGGAGCATCTCTCCAGCAGTGAGCTGGTATGTGCCCTTCTCCAACCAGACTCTATGCCTCTGATGGTGAGGCACATGTATTACTCATCATTGAAACTCCACCATCCAATACATTGAAATGAATATATGATGAGTGAACTACCAAGTTGTAAGTTGTCATTAGTGTAATACTGAACTGTCAAAATATTTTAAGCACATTTAAGTTTCTACCTGGGTGGTTATAATTTATTAAGTTATATGTGGGGTTTGGTTCTAAGGGCCTTTTCTGAGAGGCGTGTAGAGCTGTAACCTCCCAGCATGATTTCTGTGCCTCTCTCAGATCAGACTGAATTGGAGTCCTAATGGTTCTAAAATTCAATACTAAGCAATAAGATGTGTTTGTGAATGAATATGTCCTCTTCTCCTCTTTGTACACATCTTACCAACTAGAAAAGTTCTCTTTTGTTGAACTGATTGTCATAGCTCAGGAAATAGATATAATACACTGGGAAAGAATTTTAGAGTTTAAAGAAAATGTGTTCGGTTCTGAAAGTGATGATATTGTATGGTCTTTGAAAACAAGGGAACTTTTCAGGCAGCTGTGTTGAAGACCTGGCCCCTAGAACTGAGAACGAAAACCCTTCAAGTCCCTGTGTACACAGAGGACACTGCAGTCAGATGAGCCAAAATAGATTTTTTTTCCCTCAAAATTAGGAAACAGTATGAAGTGGGGATTGAGAATATGCACTGGAGAAAAGGAAAGAGCAAGAAAATGGGAGCAACTTACTGAGGGGAAAGTTTTCTTCTTTCCCAGATTTTATTACACCCTTGATAGCAATTCAAACTTAATCATGGAAACTACTGCCCCTTAGATTGAAAAGGCAAACCCTGGAGGATAGTAATGACCTCGCGCTCACAGCTGCTGCTCATTTTTCAATTTCCAGGCCTATCAAATCCCCTTGCAAACCTTGTGTTATATGCGCGTGGTGGGGTTAGGTTTTCAGAGGAGGATGGATGTGGATGTGGCCACTGGCCTCAGAATCCCATTTCATGATGGATGGGCCTTTCCTGCTAGTACCTGGCCAGATGGCACAGATCTTGGGGAATGCAGTTCTCCTGCTAGCTTCATTCCAGCAGCTTGGATTCCTTGTATGACTTAGTGGTGCAACTGAGTGGGAAAGCCATTTCGACTCTTTGGGGAATCCCATGGGCTTATAGACCTGCCTCACTTTAAAATGAATGGTAGGGTTGCTTGACTAAAGATTTTCTTGATTAGAGCTCCTCAGACTCTTAGAGCTATACTGTTTCTTTGGTCTGAAACTGACCATTTTGGGGCACCTTAATAAATCAGGAAGTAACACAGTGAACTGAGAACACTAAAACGTAAGCACTAACAGGGTCTGATTGTTTACCTCTCCTCAGGGAATGTGATCTCGCAAGGGACTGGTGGCCCATTCTCAGAATGGAGCCCACAGAGGCCATCCTTAAACCAAGAACAGATGATTTATTTCCCTTGGGCTATGTAGCCTTTTCAAACCAGCTTGTCACTAGCATGCCAAACCACATCCATTTCTCAGGCCAAGGGAAAGCTACACACCCACAGCTCCTTAAGATTTTCCATCTTTCAAGATTAGAACCCAGGGCATTACAGACATTCTCACACATAGTGAGGCCATGGAGTAAGGGCCCACAAAAGCCAACAGAAACAGGTACATGAGTCGGTGAAAAGCAGGCTTTCTGGGTAAAAGTGCACAGCAGATGTGGAGGCAAATGCAACCAGGAACTAAAAATGGGGCCAGGCCTTTCTCAGCCAAGTGGTTCTTTTCCAGTCAAGAGTGACTTGGTCCTAGCAGTTGCTATCTGCTTATTGAGCTCTGTATTCATTTCTCAAACTTCTATCTAAGTCTCTGGTTGAAAACCCATTTCCAGAGCCAAAATGAAAACAGCAAATGTACTTCTGGGGCCAAAAGAATTGGAAGGAAATTAATTGGAATTTTGCCTAATTGAGTAATCCAGGGGAGAGCAGGAGATGGATGTTGTGGCCTCGCTGAAAGTCCAAACAAATCTGTAAAAACGACTAGACGGGTTGGTCCGCCATGGTTCATCCTGTGCGCAATCTACTGTCAAACTTCTTAGCTTTCACAAGAGGTCCAAAAACAAAGGTCTTGTTGGTGGGGTTGGGGGTATTTTCAAATAGGAAATGTTTGTGGTTCTTATCTTTAAAGGTAATTCCCTTTTTAGTTCCAATCACAACATACTCTTTTGTTTAAGTGAGGTTTTTCCCAGTCTCAAGCCAGAAACTGCATCTGTTAACAATCTTTTGGATTTTAAGCTAAAGCTTTTTAAACAATGAACCATTTGACCACAAAGTGGTTACATCTAGCCATGCTGTATTTGCTTATTGTTAACATGATTTTTAAGTCCTGGGAAAAGTAAGGAGTAGGTCTGCAGAGAGGAGAATGAAAAGTAGTATGTGCACTGGATCATGGCGACAGCAGTGCTGAGGACAGGCAGAAGTCTTAGTTGTGATTCTTCACAGGATCGATGGTCCTCGTTGTG